TCAAGCAGTCAGTCAGACCTGATGTTCATGATCAACTATCTCTCATATTTTAACTCATATTCATACAAAGTATGTTAAGCAGCATTGAAGCATGTTCTACATTATATCAAGAAGATAAAAAATTATAACATATTATACAGAAAGAAGATCAGTAATAAGAGTCTGAGTTCTGTAATATACTGTGATTTGAACTGAGCAGAAGTGAATTCTCAATACAAATTGACTATCAGCTATATTATATTGATTAATGAGTCACTGATCTCATGACAGTCAGAGAGACAGATATCTATCACTAAATCAATCACAGAAGCTGAATATATTACAGCTAGTAAGACAGCTTATAAGATAGTCTGCTTAAATAATATGTTATATGATACCAGGTTGATGAATGATGAAAAAGCAAAAATATGCTTACATCTATAAGTTAATAATAAGAGAGTAATCAATCTAGCAAAGAGAGAATTCTTAATATGAAGATTATATCATATCAAGATCAGATATCATATTCTTCACAATTTAATTGAAAAAGAGAAAATCATGATGAAACATGTTAATTCTATAGTGAATATAGCTATCAGACTTATCAAGTCACTGATGAAGCCTGCATTTGAAGATTTTATCAAAAGAATTGATTTGAAAGAGATCAGAAAGAAATGATTGAATAATAATAATAATACAGCAGATCAATGAATTTTGTATGTATTTCTTAATTTTTACAGTTATTGCTGTACAGACATCTTTTCTAATAAGAAAATCAGAGTCTGATTAATGTAATTAATTATTATTATGTTTTTGAAAGATTTGAGAATGAGAGAGGCTCTGGGTGGAAGCTTATAGATCTCAGTGTAGCAAGGAAGAGTGTTAGTGATTACTACATCTACTTTAGTCATGTGCCACCCCAACCTATTCATTTAGTGTAACTCGCGTAGATAGATTACACACACATAACATAACAACGTTATTCTTCAAGAAGAAGAATATATGACTGCTGAATAATAATACAGCTGCTTCTGAACACACTTACAAATGTAAAGAAGCTCTAGCAGTCACTAATTAATTTAGATAATGTATATAAGAAGCCGGTGTACGCCTGTAATCATACACTGACTTAAGCAATCTTTGAATCACACAATCACTATCTGAGTATAAAGATTGATAGAGATTTAACTTTATTAACATTATTTTAACTTCTCTTTATAAGAAATCTTCTGAAGAAGTTTTCAATAAATAACTATTATTCTACATTCACTTCTATGAAGAAGAATGTTGATTTTATAAATAATAATGAGAAATTAATTACATATATAGCAGAATTTACTCTATAATTCTATTACTTCAGTATCAGATTTCTGTAATATCTGATATTCAATACATATTCTGATATGAGCTTTGCTACAGAATTTCTTAAATGATTCAGCTTTCAGTCTATATCAAAGAACTGAGCTATATACAAGTATACACTCTGATATCTACAGAGTTCTTAATAAGAGTATAATCTATCACAGAGGTGCTGAAATTGAACCTGTAGTATATACAGATACTGATTAAGCTGATAGAGATTCAGAATCTTATTCAACTACTGATTATATCATCTATAAAACAGATAGTCTTATTGTATGACAGAGTTACTGATAAACAGAGATTTCTAAATTATTAACAGAGGCTGAATATATCACATTCTCTGAGACTATATATAAGCTTATCTGTCTCTGAGAGCTTCTAGAAGACACTGAATTTATTTCATTCTATTTTAATAATCTGAATACTGATAATTATCTTATTTCTATCACAGCTAATAATCTGACTTATATAATTTATGCTGATAATAAGTCTGTCATAGAGCTATTCTCTTTCAAAGCAATTTCATACTGCTTGAAGTATATAGAGGTCTGTTTTCACATTCTTCAGAATCTTATCTATAAGAATAAGATAACTATCTGATATATTTCATCTGCTAAGAAAACAGTAGATAAGCTTACTAAATCACTTAAAACATTGAAATATATGTGTTGAAAGAAGAATATGAAGATGAAGAAATAGAGAAATAAAAAATAATATATCTTATAACTGATTTTTCATTACTACATATTTTTCAGTCATTTTTTATACCTGTACTTGATTTAAAGGTGAATTTTGTATATAACATCATGTATAGTTACTCTGGTAAGTAAGAGTGTCAGGTCATGTGATCTGACTTACTAATTCTTTCATTATATAACTTTTCACAACCTAGTCAGAAAGCAGAAAACTTTATCTCAGAAAGTAGAAAACTTGTAATTTGAAATTACTTAACTATTTATCATCAATTCTACAATCAATTTAAAATCAATTTAAAATCAATTTAAAATTAATTTAATACTGAAATTATTCTTGAATTTAATAATAAAGTAAGTATTTATATAATTTACACGGAATTGATTATTAACTGATTTTCAATCAATTATTAATTACTTAAATATATAGATTGAATTTATTTTATTACTATAATTAATTAACAATTAATTCAGAATTAATTTAAAATCAACTCAAAATTAATTTAGTACTGAAATTATTCTTGAATTTAATAATAAAGTAAGTATTTATATAATTTACACTGAATTAATTATCAACTGATTTTCAATCAATTATTAATTACTTAAATATATAGATTGAATTTATTTTATTACTATAATTAATTAACAATTGATTCAGAATCAATTTAAAATCAATTCAAAATTAATTTAATACTGAAATTATTCTTGAATTTAATAATAAAGTAAGTATTATATAATTTATACTGAATTGTTTATGACTGAATTCATC